CTGCGGCAACTGGTGGACTTCCCTATCAACCCTACCACCAAGCTTAGCTAGTTTCCTGAGGGAAACCCTGAACAGTATTTAATATTTATGTAATCCTGCAGTGCTACTCGAAAGAAATACTTATTTTATCTGTACCAAAAAGGTGTATTGATTTTTATGGACGATGACTACCATGAAATAGTCTAATGTTGATAAGCTAAGCTGAAGTTGGCTCTTTAGATGACCATTTCACAAGCTTTCTGAACAAAGTTTACAAAGTGCACAATCATACATGTTTTTGAAATAACTATAAACAGAAATGTTATGACACTTGTGCCGCAACACAAGTCAAAGCTTTTCGTTGCTCGTGATCTTAAAGATGTAGGTGTACGACTTTAATGTAGGACGCCCCGCTCAACATGTGTCAACACATGTCTCTGAGTGAAACAGTATCTGTGGGGCTTTGTACAGCGTGCTGGTGGACAGCATGTTTCCAGTAGGCTCTGGCCCTTTCCTTCACTCTGTTCTGCTGTGTCTCTGGACGGGGCCGGTCCTCTGCCTCTGACTCTGTGAGGCGATTGGCGATTCCAGGCCGGGTCCTGGAGCCTCCCCCTGTGACACACTTTCAGTGCGGCCCCACCAGCATGACTTTCACTGCTCTCCAAGGGCGGGTGGTGCACCTTCAGGGGAAAAACAAACAAATATGGAGGCTGCTGGAGTGCAAGTGTACAGACCTTGCTCATTTGACTTTCTGTGAGTACAGATCCTCAGCATCTCTGATATTGTTTTCTTGCTTTAATTTACAACCTTATTGCTATATATCCCTATTGAATACAAAAAAATTATTTAGTAGGAAATGAGAAGCACTAGAATAGTTCCCCCATTATTATTATGTTTAAATATGCATTTAATAAGTTCTTCTTATAACACATTAAAATTACCGTTTGTGATTTTCATGTTTTGTTCGCTTGACAATAAGTGTTGGGTGAATACAGACTATCACTGGAAGTACTGCACTTTGTCTACTTTCTCACTGCAAAGGAACTCAATATTTTATATATTATTTCTTTACGTCTCTCCTCTTGCCTCTGACTCTGTTTCCTGAGGGAAACAGCTCTGACTATTCGACTACGGGTAGATATGATGGAGCAGAATAATGAGCATGCTCATACCAATCATGTGTTGTGGTGGGCTGGGCCCTGTAAGACTGTACAACCATTGTGTTTTTTTTAGGCCCCTTTTGTGAGATGCACACAAGCATGAGAGGAGGTGTGTGTACACACAAGAATGAAAAGGTTAAAAAGAAAGGCACAAAAAAGCTTTTTATATGTTTCAGTGGTTCCGCTGGCAAAAAGCCACCAAACAGAGAGAGAAACACAGAGTTGAATAGAGGTTATGCTTTGCTGTGTTTAGCTGTATCAGGTCATTCATACAGCGTAATACAACCATTTCATGAATTTAAAGTTTCTAAATTTTGGGATTATTTTTTGTAAAATAATATTGCTTCATGTTGTAAACTTTGTAACACTTAATTTAGATTACAAAGGAAAATGTGGACATTTCCCAGCAGCATAGCAATGTCAGTAACATGGAGTATGATGCTTTATTTGAGAAGAAAGGTTGAGGTTGTGCTTCCGATTCTGAAAACGGTGTTTTGTCCTCCAAAGAGGTGCATTAGACATTTGATTATTGTAAAATTACTAGTTCTGCACACATCTCCATGATCATAGTTGGTTCCTTACCAGTGTCATATAATCCTGAATCTTGTTTTTGATCGTCCTACATAAAAAAGTACTGGTGCACCTTTTGGTTTTCATTTTTGTGAAGAATTTGTGGAGTGCAGTGAAGAATCAGCAGCATCTTGCTTGTATTGTTACATCAGTTTTTATGTCAATTTGTCCTTTAGATTTTTTTAATGAACAAAACAATGAGGTGTTTATGTAATGTATGTTTTATGTTTTTTGGTGCACAGAAAGTCAACACACCTATAAAAACGTATTGATTTTATGTTTAAAATCACAGAACATTTAGAACATAAATGATATATTTTTGCATACACCAGTGCTTCAGGTAATTATGTTAAAAAGTTCAGGCAGTTTTGCTAGTAGTTCCATGTGCTCACCGGAAAAGAGGAAGCAAAGGAAACAAAAGAATTGGGGTATTTAGGAATTTTAACATTCAAAGAGAGAAGCAGATTAAAGACTTAAAGAGAACACAAAGCCTTCGTTTGCAGCAGCAGAAATGAAAAGTTTTAACCATAGATCCAGAAAGTTTGTTTGAAATGTCTAGGATGAAAGGAAACAAAGTCACCCAGGCTGATGCCATGTACCAGAATCAGTACAAAGGAACTTTGGAGAAAAAAGAAATAGCTGTCAAATTGAACGACTCAAACTTCTGCAGCGTTTTAAGACCGAGCTGAAATTCATTCTTTGCAATTTAAGATCCTGCTCTTTGAGATGAAATTTATTGGTCTTAATTGTTTCTCTCAGATAACCGGTGGACAGGTCAGTCTGTGAGGTATCAGACCGTGAGACTATATGTGATGCTGGGAGAGAATTATAGCATGTTGACGGCTCAACACCCAGTGAATATGCTGCAGACCGAGGCAGTGTTTGACCGCACTGGCTAATTAGTGCGATTATTGCACAGCTGGATTGGCCAGACTTTTTACGGTGTTGTATCAAAAGGATCACTCACTCGATGAAGGCTTCGTCCCGACAACTTCTGCTTCAGCAGAGTCTCTCTATTTTAGGACCGCTGGACTTTGCTTTGTCTGGGGGAGTAGCTGTCTAAATTTAAGAGGGTGGGAAAACTGAAGCAGTCTGTGCTTTGGAGTTCCTCTTTGGGTGATGTTAAAATCTGAAAAATCTACCTTGGACAAGAGTAGTTCATTGTTCTCAATAACAACTCATGCTTTCTGAAACCAGATCTGTAAGGATGTTTTAAAGGGAGTATTTAAAGAAATAATTTGGTGTATGTGAAGTGAGATTTGTTAGAAAGTTTTATTTAGCTGTTTTTGACTTGTAGTAGATGACTATCCAGCCATCTTCATTTATAATAATCCCAGATTAGTCAGACCTACATCCTGAAACAACCAACTTCACTGACTGGGCCAAAAACACAACCATCTTAAAACAAATGCAATGTTGAATTCTAATTTATTACATTTTGCTGTTGCATATAAATGTTTTCACACTTGCCTCCTCTTCAATTTCCCAACAATAGTTGTGTCAATACATCTAGTTCACAAGAGGAGATTTTACTAAACTACAGATGCTATTTTTTATTTTGCAAATAGAGGAAAAGTATGATGCAGATTCCAACTAATCTGCAGTTGGTGTAGAATAATTGAGTCTACGTTTGACTAGTCTATAAATTGCTTTTTTGTATGTTTCTAAGATGGATTTAAAGGCTAAAAAGCATTGATCGGTATCCTTATTCTAATTTTCACAAATTAAACACATTTTTCATCCATTTTCAACCGTGTTTAAAGACTCCCTGTTCTAGGTAAAATTATTAGGTTCATGTTTGATCTTTTTAAACAGATTTGTTGACTGCAGGCCATATTTCTTAGAAACTCTTAAAAAGCCCTTTGTCATCTGTTCTGAACAAATATACACAAAATGCCAGAGGATATGCTGCTTATAAAAGTAATTCTTTTTATTTTTTGCTTCTGATTTTAGATCATTAAAACTTTTTATGTAGATCAGTGCTTATTATTGGTACATTGGCTCCAGCCAGACTACCATAACACATAACTGAGCAGTGTTGGTTAATTTACAGGTACATACTGGAAAAAATATATAAAAAATATTCCAATTGAAATTTAAATATCTATATTTTCAATATTATCAAACTGCTCAACCTTTAAAGGACAAAATATTGCCATATATTAAATAATTGGATTTAAGACCTGGAAGATTAGGAAGAGCATTTTGAACAGCCATGGTGAAGAGATGCTTACATTATTTCCACAAATTATTTGGTTACTAATGATGTAAGTTTTCATCCAAGTACACCTGTTCTCCATTGAAGCGTGCAAAAGGTTTTGCTAACGGACAAGAAGAAAACATGTAAATCTTGTACAATCAGCACTACTTCTTACTTATATTACCACAGTCATGTTGACATTCAGTGTCTTCTTAATTTTTTACGAAGAGGAGGAGATATGTCAAGAAATATAGGCAGATAATACTGTACAATATCAGAAAATTTTATTATGTTGATAATATTGGTAAATATAACAATGCCATGAGACTCTGTCCAACTGACTAATTATTACATTAGTCAATTAGCTATTGTTAGCTAAAATATTGGCTAACAATAATTGTCCTCTAAGCAGTCCTTTGCTATGTGAATATTGCATCCACTGAAATTGCATATGGTTGTGGTATATCGTGCAACCCTATAGACAACAACACCACAAACCGGTTCAGAAGCTAGAGGAAGTTTTTAAGAGTCCAACCTGCCCTAGGAACAGGCTGACAAGGGTCTCAGGTTTTGACTCTGCCACTCCACAGCTGGTGTCCTGACACTCAATGTGATATTAAATGCCAGAACAACGCCATTAGCCTACAATATCCAGACCCTTCGTCATCTCATGACAAAATGTGTCCACTGCTTTGGCCCTGCAATCTGAAAGGTTTTTAATGACCCCAGTGATCTCTGCAATGGTCTCTTGAAGTATTTGAATAATTTCAGTGATTTCAGAAGTGACTGTTGTGTCTTTGTTTGACATATTTTTGACAGTAACCCTAAGAGAAGATTACTGGTTCTCAGATAAACTAGTTATTGATTTATTGGTTACTGGTTTCAACTCTGTAAGTAAGATTTTTTTTTATCCCTGGTCCTTCACTTGTTCTTTCTGCTTGACCTCTTCTTCACATGTTCTCAGTTTGCCCTTTCTCTAATACCACTTTCCATCTTTTTGCCGCTCCTCATCTCACCTTTGTAATCAGGCTCTCGTTTCCCTCTCTGATTGCCCATCTGACATCTTTCCTTCTCCCAATCTCCCTTTGCAGCAGCCCGTCGAACCAGCACGGCGCCTCCAAGCCCCCGTTGAGCTCCTCGGCCATGACATCACGCATCCTGCTGCGGCAACAGCTAATGCGGGAGCAGCTCCAGGAGCAGGAGCGGCGAGAGCAGCAGAGACAACAGTCCTCCCACTACCCACAAACCACAGCGACCCAGACCCCCGCTATCAATGTCAGTGTCCCTGTCAGTGTACCAGCTGGAGCACAGGTGCCAATGGAGGTGCTTAAGGTAAGCAGCCATGGCTGCAGGGGAGGAGATGGAGTGTGGCGGCATGTTTAATTAGCAGGCTTGGTTCTGTATAAAGTTTCCACCTCTGGAAGTTGTATGCGTCACTGCCCCAGTCTGAAGGGTCCAGCTGTATTAATAGATGTTGGTGACTCGAGCGTAGACAGTCAGACAGTTGTGGTTTTACTACAACCGACTGAAAAAATGAAAAACGAAGAAGAAAAAAAAAGAATGAGTAGGAGTGAGTGAAGTGTGTTAAAATGCGTATATGGGGATTATCTTTCCTGAGAGAATTCCTCTTTAATGCACGCTGTGCTTCCTGCCATTTGGATTTAGCCATCTTTAATCCTATTTGCTCAGCTACGTTCACATCTTTTCGTAGCTTTGATTCCCTGGCAGTCTAAAGGGACAGAAGCTTGTTCAGGTTTTCTGAGTAGAGAGGGTTGGTTTTTGCTCAAACATTTTAACCAAGACTTTCGGTAAGTTTTATTCTTTATCTAATTTTCTCAGATGGGTCTTTTTTTTCAAACATACTTCAAAAATGTGTTGCGTAAGTGTAAGCACAATCAAAGATCTTAGTGTAGTTTATACTTTTTGCTCCTTTATACATTTTACTCCTCTACCTTCCCCTGCTATTCTGTGTTTTATTTCATTCTTGATATGAAAAACCTGTGTGTGACGGTGTTTTGCAATGTTTTGGACACAAACTTAAGCTCTAAATTGTTTTCAGTAAGTGTGCTGCTTTGGAAAATACTTTTTTCCACGTCTTTCTGAAAGCACAAGGTTTTACATTAGCTACTTTCAGTTTACATTTTCTTTTTGTTTTAGGTGTTTCATCTATTTCAGAAAACCATTAAGCTTTGAATATATATTCAAAAAGCCTTATGGTAAATGCTTGCTGTAGCATAACCTCACATGAAATTTTTATCTTCAACTTTTTGAAAAATACTTTAGAGGCTCGTTTTTACCTTCATTGGCAGACTTTCCAAATATTTTTAAAGAAATTTTTGTTTTTCATGTGTTCAAACCAAAAGTTGGGATAATTCCAATTTTGCAACTTGAACCGAGGTGAATAAAGTACATACATACTTTTTAAAGTGGCTTCAAATGATTTTAACTGCAATACAATAATTTCACAAAAAAATAAGCTTCAGCTCTCTCACAATAAGCCTTAACCATCCTCCTCACTGTGCATGTTATTGCCTTAACTGTAGAGATGGTAAAGTTAAGGTGAGTCATTTTCTTCTTGTAGCTGTTTTCTGTTTTCTTGTTTTCCTATTTTGAAAAGTTGCTAATCAATCTGTCACAGATTTATTTATTGGGAATGTTAGCTGTGACACCAATTGAGTCACCCATGAGTCTGCACAACACTTACTTTTCTTTGACTGATTTTCTTTTTAAATACATGTACTAAGTAAATGGCTGAATTAATGAAATTTTTTTAGTTAAAACCATGTTGCAATAAGGTCTCCACTTCCAATTTTTGTTGACAGTCTTTACTTAACTACTTTGTGTGGTCTAAAATGTCCTTCAAAGCATAAAAACAAAATGTTTGTTGCTGAGAAATGCAGCAACAACTGAATAAAAATTGTGGTTTTGTGCTAAATTACATTTTCAGCACCTTAGGTGTACATGACCTGGGTCATCACAGGACACAAATTCGGTCCATTGAAATTATTACCTTCTTCACGTAGCATAAACATGACCTATTCACCATAATCTGAAGCTCTTTGAGAGATTTAGGACGCCCCCACCCTGAACCCTCACCTTGTGTACAATACTTAAAATTTGAGTAATTTCTCTGTGTTTGCCAGAGCTTACAGACATTTTTCTTTGACTGTGGTCTTCAAAATGAAAAGGCCGTTCAAGCTTGGTGCTGTTGAGCTGGGTTAACCTGCTCCTGTCTGTAGGTAGATTAGTGGAGTCCACACAGAGCTCAGGGGTACCAGGCAGAGCTGCTGAACCTCAGAAAGTGCAAACATTAAGCTCAGATGAGTTTATCTAAAGACTGATTGGACCCTTAATTAACCAACTGACCTCTGACCTCTTGGGGGAATAAGTATGGGATCAGTTTAGGGATCAAGACAAAGGCGAGCACAGCCTTACCACACACTGAACGCTAATTCAGTGAAGAATGCTTGTAATTAGCGTCCACTGCCTTAATTCCTCAGCATATTCAAGAGAAAAAAAATCATACTGCTTTGAAATTTATGTAGGCTAACTTCCTAAAAGGGTTAAAAGTTAAATGTTTATTTTAAAGGGATTTATACCACCGTGAAAAGAACAATGTACTCTGCTTCTCCACTAGATGCTTTTGGATCACACAATTATCGATTCATAACAAGCATAGTTCATCAATAGTGACACACTGATCAGAATATTTTGTGGTCGACTTCCAGTCTTGAGTTTTTGTAAAACTAGTGTTTCTAATTTTGGCTAATAAATATAAAGATTTTGAATTGTTTTAGCATATATTAGCAATTAGCATGATTAGTGTGGTTATTTTGACCCAAAAGTTTTGGAGATCATAAAGAAGTTTTTCATTAAATTTGGAATGGGTGTTCTTTTAGTCAGCAGTGTTTTTTTTTCCCACTTTGTAACTCTCCCGTTTGACTGTTTGATGCTCTGCTGGAGTAATTTTGGTAGACTGGCCATTAGTCTATGGTTTCGTCCACGTTTTCTCCATTTCTGGATATCTTACTGCTTCCCCAAAGACTTTAAACTATATTTGCTACCTGAAACTGTCGCTGTGTTTATGACTAATATTCTAAATTATACATTCTTTAATGAGCTTAGAAAAAATGCATGCTATCTGGGCATACAACAAGAAGGCATAAACTTTTCAGAAAGGCCCTCAAAGAGCAAAAAAAAAATTATCAGTATTTGATATCTGTAATTTTTTTGTTCCATATATTATTTAAAAGGGGGATTCCAGTGGCTGTAAATGCCAAATTATGCCATATTGAACAAGATGAAAAATAATTACATATTTTCTCATGATGTTTTCTTGTGGATTTACAAATTAGATGTATAATATTGTTATCCAGCTTACTCCAATTAATCGTAAAACCTCACGGACTACTGAAAAGTTCAATAATTTTAAGAATTTTGGACATGCTTAAGAGCGTCAATAAAACATTGCATACATACTTAATTTGAATTCATGATTGGCAATTGTTATGCCAGTAATTTTGTTATCTGGTTGGACGATACATGTTAAATGTTCAACGCCAAAATAAACAATATTGGAAAGTACAGCGAGAATGCTGAAAAGGTAATATTACTTTATTCCATTGCTTGGATTTTGATATTTGTTTTTTGTCCATTGTAAACAATTGGAACTAAGATCAAAATACAGAACAGACGTGTACCATCTACATGGTGAAACATCCAGTAACACTATCACCACTGTGGGGAAAAAGCTTGTCTTGTGCATTATTTGAAAAAAAAAAAAAAAATTAAAACATACAGCCCCCATTTATTCCAAGTAATTTTATGGTAGCTTTCTCACCATGAGATCAACTAAGTATAATCCTGAGCATTATCATCTAGTATGAGCTGTGCTAACTTTAAGAGTATTTATCATCCAAAGGCACAGTTTCAGTTAGCCTGGAGTGTTAATTTGCAATGCTTGTACATATTAAGCTCTCAGTATGTCAGAATGAGAGGGCGACATGACACTGAAATGTTGCCGTTCACATTAACTTCACAGTTGTCTGCAAATTCTGCAAAGCACTTTAGCAGACTATCTGTGAGACAAAGCAGCCCATTCTTTCAGGATGCAAGGCAAATGGTGACTCTCTTGCTAATGTATCCTGGTCAGACCATCATGGAATGCCTTGGGTATCCAAGTAAAAAAACATACAAATCATTGTTTGTCATTCTGAGTTCACCATGCACCCATTTTTATTCAATACAGCGGGACACGTTGTTCTTGCTTTTGCGGAGTTTCTGACTTTTTAGGGGTTAGGTTGCCATTGCCCTCTGGCCCGCTGATGTCTAAAGACGAGTGAGGAGATAAATAGTTGCCTTGTTTGCAGTTTCAGATGCTGCAAGTAAAAATTTGTTGTTACGGTTTGAAATCGTGTACTCTGAGGCGGGTACTCTGAGTGAATTTGAGCAGAGAAATGTCTAACTCAGTTCTCCCTGGCTGGACGCACTAACCAGCTGCACTCCCTACAGACACAAAACTGATGGCTTTATGTACAACTAAGACAGTGACCTTGGAGAAGTTAATTCTGTTCTTAAGAGTTTATAAACACACTATGAAAATAATCTCTTTTCATGTTGAAAACAGAAAATTTGCTACACCCAACTTTACGTTGTTGCAACAAAAGCAGCATTGAGAAGAGGAAGACTTTAAAGCCTGTGGTCTGTGGCCCGGAGGCTTCAGTGAAGTCCCTTGAAGCTCCGAGGTCATCTTATTATGTGTGATAATTTAGGAACTCCCTGAGGACAAAATAAGCTCAAAAGCCTCAATTGTTTATTTTAAAGGAACTAAATCAGGTGGATAAGAAATATAGCAAAAAATAAGTAAAAGTATTGATCTGCATATTTATTTGTTTTTAATTATTGTATAATTTTAAAGAAGATAATAATTTTTACATGCAGTGTTGTATCTGTAAACAGATAAAACACTATAGTCCCTTGCCAAAATATTTATTATTTTGCAACTTAGCAAAATTTTACTGTATTTTATTTTGATTTTAAATTCAGTGGTGTGTGAAAGTGAAGTTGAATTAAAAATCTGAAAAGATGTGGCGTTCTTTAGTTTTTATCCCACCAGGGTCAGTACTTTATAGTGACCATTTTCATCATTCTTCTTTGAAAATGAGCGGCATCAGATCGCCTTTTACAAAATATTACAATATTTTGAACTAAACCATCGCATTGTTGGTCAAAGTGTACATTCAGGGTTGTTGTCCAGCTGGAAGCTGAACCTTCACCTCTTGCTCAAATCATTTGCAGTCTTACAGAGCTAAGCTTCTCCACATAATTACCTG